AGCTCACTCCCCATAATTTTCTATCCTTTATTTCATTTTGTTGATGTATGTTTTTGCACACCTGATGTTGTTTTGCACACTGCCTGTTGTCTCTTTCTTTTATTATACAATAGTATTGTTTTTTTGTACTACTTATCATCTGAGAGCTAGCTAAATAGAATTTCGTTATACCATATACCTGTATATGAGTATAATGACAATAAACCTGAACTTGCCAATTGTTCTCAAAGGTGCAAAAAAACAGACAAAATTGTCTTATTTTTGGTATTGTTACAGGCTGAGGTAGATGACAGAGGAGGCGTCTCTTAAGAATCTAGACAGAATGGGCAATACCTAACTTGTGTCAATGTTTCCACTTCCAAGAGATTCAAGCCAAGTGATGTTTATTTAGGTATTACCCATTCTGTGCAGTTTCATAAGAAGTTTCTTAGTTGAGCTGCGTGTGAGACACACTGATCAAAAAAAATCTTCTGGCTAACCTTTTGGATATTCAGGTTCTGGGAAAATGGTAAAGAGTATCGAAAGTGTAAGATAAAAGTGAAGGAACAGACCAGAAAAAAAGCAGACCACGAAAGAGAGAGGAAACAGGAAGAGGCAGAACTTGGACCGTGAGCCATGCGAGAAGTCCTTGTTTGAGACAAGACCAGATTGGAGTTAAATATTTGAATCTTGCTATTCTGTACCTTTTAGGGAACTCTGATTTCCTGAGTGAGGAAAACCTCACCTCTGGTTAGTGGGTGCATTTTGGAACAGGGAGACAGGCTCCCATTTATTTTGTGGCATTTGTTTAGTTTAGAAGGCAGCTTACAGTATCTCTTATTTTGGCCTCTGTCAGAATTATTTAAGAGTGAAATACTTGTTAGCCATCTGGGGGTTTTCCCTGGTGGTCTAGATGTAGGTCTCTGAAATACATTGTCTGTAAACTTGTAATGTACATATGGAAATTTGTGTGTAGTATGATTATGTTGTGTGTAGTGTTTGTATTGTAACTGTTAATATTTTTTTAATGAAGTGTACCTGAATTATTGCTCTTTTAACCAAAACTGTATAATTATACCAATCACTCAGGTATATTCTTGGGGAAAACATTTACAAGCCAGGGATTTTGCAACCCTCCATTGTAAGTGTATTGAGTGGCTGTGGCACTGCGTTCTTCCCAGAGCCCGAGCTGCTGACCTCACCTTTGATTTGAAAACAAACTCACTGGTGGGGCGTCCATCCTTGGCCTTTCTAAGAGTGTGGGCTAATATGGCTGACGTGTATTGGTGAAATAGTGAAAGGCTTGTAAATGACCTGTGCTCCCAGAAATTGACAGGTATCCTTAATGACAAGAGCAGAAAGCCTTAAATGATGGTATTTAATAAAACATGACTACAAGGATGCATTGATTAACCATCCTAGAAAAGCAGTGCTGGAGAATATCACCTTTATAAAGCATGTGCAAACTGCTAGAATAGGTCTGATTTCTGAGTCTGAGGCACTGGGCCAAATTCCCAAGGCTATATATTTTGGCACTGACCTTGAGTGTTCATCAGATTGAAACTAACACTAGCCTGTTTGTGAAGACAACCCATCAATCAGCAAAACTGCCACAGGATTATGACCCATCAAGAAAAGAATGTTGACAAAATGTTATCTGAAAATCTATCCCAGTCTGGTGTGCAGGGCATTTTACTTTGTAAATGGTATTTTTAGTTGCGTTACTAAAGAGGTTCTTATTGGAAAATAAAACTTCCTTCTATTGTCACAAGCATTTGGAAGCATGGCTGCAATGTACTTCAAACAAAAGTAATTATGTCAGAAGAAAGAAAATGAATCAGAGCCAGTCATTTATGATCTCATATATTTTATTGACACTGTAAGTTTATTGGGTGTTACTGGAGTAAAAAGATGCGCACTGTAGAAGTGTTTTTTTAAATGAAAAAGCAATACTCATTTCAGTAACAGGAGACCAGCACACACGAAGTTCGGTATTTCATTTTCATTAAAGCTTCAGCTAATGCAACTTCCCTTTTTTAGAATATGCTAAAATTCGGGTGACATTCCTAAAACAGCCAGAGGGACAAATCATGTGTCCAGAATACAAGAATATCCACAATCTTCATTTTGAAATCTGTGACATCTAAATTTGAGTTTGGATCTTTTAGGACTTTCAGATGCAATCACATCTGTAATCATCTTTTCATTTTTTTTTTACTTTATACATGCTTAAATGATACCTTATGCCAGGTATCATTATGAAACCAGTTCCTTCTCAACTATTAATTGTTCTGTTTCTAAAGTGCATTTTAAAATTATTACATGATAATGAATCATCTTATGTACGTCACAGTAGCACATTATATACCTAGTTTCAACTGTGTGTTTTCCGTTCTCTTTTCAATATACAAAATATTAGATAACATTTAGGGAAGAACAGCAACTTTAAAAGAAACCAGAGGTTATTGGTTAAACAAAGTCCCAAAGCGTCAAATATAATCACATAAGATGACATTCAAACAATAAAATAAATTGAAGAAACTGTTGCCTTATATTGCTAGATTTTGCAAAAATAAAATAATTGTTTTTCTGTAGGTTAGTGAAAGAAAAACACTTGGTTATTACCAAGGACCATTTCAGCAAGATCTATGAAGATCATTGTTTGGCTATCAAGCAAATTGTTCATTAGGCAGTGTCTGGGGTGAGGAAGCTCACTATTGTATACTTTAAGAAAACACACAAAACCCCCTGGCCAGCCAGGGTGCGTCATCACTCACATGAGTAATACAGGGAATTAACAGAAAACGTACTATGGCCACCTGCATGAAAAAAAGTGTTTCTGAGTAATTCGTGACATGTGACATACTAAGTAACTCCACTTACATTTGCTGTTAAACATATCCTGATATAAATTCAGCCTTTCTTAAACTGAGTATTTTTAGACTACTCCAGCTAAAAATCAGCATCCTATATGGTAAAATAAATGTATCTATCAAGACAAACCTATTTCTCCAATTTTGAATTGAAAGCTGAAATTTGTTGCGTGTCGATGTTTTAGACTGGCTAAAACACTAGCTACAAAGAAAACCCCTCCTGAAGTCCAAGCTTAAACATCTCAGGAGATTATCAAGCTAAAGACTTATTCAAGGTCTTCAAAGAGTTATTGCAGAACAATTGCTGGGATGAGCTGAGGTGCTATTACGAATAAAAGCACCTATTACAAATAAAAGCAAATAAAAAGTGTAGCAGACACCGTTTTTCAGAAAGGCTGATGTTAAAACAGCTGTACATTTTCTGAAAAGCAGAAAAAAAATATTCAAAATTTTAAGTTACATTCGAGGTGTTTCATTTGAAGGTATTCACCTTTAAAAACATAGTGGCAACACCATTCAGAAAATTACCTTCCCCCCAAAAATTTTACCTTTAGAAGCCTGGATGACCAGAACTCAGAACTGCTCACTATTATTTCAGACGTCAGGAGCAATAAATATTAAAAGGGACTTCAATTTCACAACATTGTTCAAAAATATTACACAATTTGATGCTTTTCTCTGCATGCTGAAAATCTGTGGGCTTAGCAACAATGGACTCAAAATAGCAGGGATCCGTGGATTTCTGAGTCATCGAGCGAAACGGACTTCAAGTACCTCGCGAACAACACGGCCTCCACAAATATCTGTTCCATTGTTCGGCTAGATCATGCTAACGAGGCAGTGGAGTAAAGATATGATGATTAGTGCTGCGCCTGAGTGTGAGATGAGGCAGCAGAGACGAAGCTGCACTCGCAGCCAGGAGCCGCTGTTTGAGGGACCTCAGACGTTGAGCAGCGGGATCTGCCACACCATGATGGTGGAGACGGTCTCTTCCTGACGCGGCGCCTTCGTCTTCTTGATCACTCTCCTGTGGCCCGGCCCTCCGGACACGACGAGCACCGAGCTAACCGCAGCCTTCTGGGTCTTCTTGCCCCGGTGCGCGAAGCTGGGGTCGTGCAGGAGGTCGTAGAGAGCGCCGTCTTCGGGGCCGTGCTCCAGCGAGCCGTGGGAGAGCGCGAGGGACCCCGAGGAGGAGGAGAGCGAGCCCTGCTGAGCGATGGGCCTGCTGGAGTCTCCCAGCCACAGCCCTTTGTCTTGCGCACTGGCCAGGGACGAGGATGATCCCAGCGGGTTAGCCACCGCCTTTTCTCCGTCTTTCCCTTCCATGGGGCGAGGCAGGCTGCCCACGGAACTGCTCCTCTGCGCTGCCCTTGTGATGGCTTCGGCCATGGTGAGGAATCTCACAGGCCCGCAGTGGGCGTGGAACGACACCATACCGCGCCCTGGGCACATGAAATGGAAAAAACTGAAAAACCCTCACTGAAGCACTTGAACCATGGGCTGAACTTCAGAATAACAATTTTAACCCTGCTTACATCTAAGAAAGCTGTTTTTATAAAGTGGATAACAGTATATTAGGTTTCTGTGTGAAATGATTATTTTAACCTGATAAATTAACTCTAACTCAGATAATATCTATTATTAAAATGTCAGCTGATATCAAAGTGGTCAACTGGGTCTGGCCTACACAGGTCTCATAGGGTGCGAACCTAAACTCCTCCTTAGCTCTGTTCAATTACAGAAATTTGGAATTCATCTAATTTCTATTCTAAGCAAGAATTACTTTCCTGATCATTAAGGGACTGAATGTAGATTGCAGACAAGCTTACCTTTAGATCCTAATGACATGTCAGTGCATTAATAATAACACAGTGCCAAGAGTGTACATACAGTACTGTATTTCACTGAAAGCTAAAAGTAAAGTATTCATATGTTTTGTTGTGTTTTATATTGGCCCACTCTGCTTCTACTGATAATTTGACACAACAGAAATGTGGCTGCTATCCTATCTAGTTCTTTCCCACCAGAGTACCTAAGCACATTATACTGTAAGATCTGTAAATAGTACTGTAAGTATAAGATCATCTTTACTAATGGCTGCCTGACATTTATTGTAACATTCAGCAGAATCCTGGCAGACAGAACTTGAAAGATACACTGGTAAGTGTTATACTTGCTTGAAGGAAAATCAGTTCACTAATTATCTTTCTTACTTAGCATAAAATATAATTGCAGCCTGACTGTCTCTTGATAATATGAAGTAGGACAGGTCTTAAAAGCCTTTGATTAGTATCTATTTTAAGAAAACTTAAAATATGCATTTTCATCATGTGGCATTAAGAAATGAGTATTTCAGGAGGTGATGAGCACAACCAAAATGTTGCTCAATTCTTTACTCGAAAGAAAGGCAGGTTTCTATACAGCTGGAGGAAGGGGAGCCACAGATGAAAGAAAAAGCTCTTAGCAACCACAGACACCTACAATAAACAAACCAAACCAGGGCTCAATGCCAAGACTGAGTTACAGCCTTAACCACAAGCTGCATTGAGGAACACGAATAACAGCACAACTTCACTAGCATTTGCAATGAAATAGTGTTTGCAGGAACGACACCTAGAGGCATGTCTCTCAACCATCCTCCTGCGTCAGTGAGCAGCTTCTTGATGAAACCAAGGAAACATATGATTGCTGCATCAATGGACATGGATATCTGAATGGGACTTTAAAGCTGTATAATTCACGTTCTTCCTGGATATTCATGATCCAACAAGGGGTGACAGCCGCGTCCGCTTGTGTAGTTCACTGTAAACTCACTCGGTGTTTCCCTCATCTGAGGTTTATGACTCATTAAGTTAGCTTTTCGCAACAGTGTTCCATCACTTGAATGTAATTAGAATTTAAATGTATTTGTCATCTGTCACATGCAAATTTCACTTTTAACCACTTTTTATTACCTTTATTTCTTTATTCATCTGAATTATTTTTGCCATGAAAGTATTTTGTCATGTAAGATTTAATAAATGGAGAACATATGTGTCAGAAGCTTCAAAAACCACCCAAGTTCTTTATTTCTATTTTCACAACACTGCTCAATTTGTACAGATATGTCATTACCCACTGTACTGTAGCTCTAAAGACTGGACTATTTTTTAAGTGTAACTATCAGGTGGCCCATTCATGATCTGGCAATCACTGATCTGAACAGATCTTCAGTTTACAGTTAATTTTATTTTTCTCGTCACAGTAGCACATTATATAAAATTGACTGTAAAATGTGGTGCTGTGGGTTAGGTTCCTGACTCCCACATCACACGTTGGGTGTTCGAATCCAGCCGGAGCCATGACTTTTTCTGCAATTTCCCTCATGGGATCAATAAAGTATCTAGTCTATCTATACCTTAAGCTGAAAATGGTTAAAGATCTGGCTTGCCGCTTGGTAAGAATGAGTAACAGGCCACTCAACTGCCCTTGAAGGCTCCCTACTGTAGCCTGCTTGAATTAAGTTTAGTGCTTGAATATGGGGTCAGGTATTGTATTGTTTTGCAGTGCTACAGTATATTACATACACCCTGATTGGCTGGATGCAACTGTAAGTCATTTTGTATAAAAGCAATGGTACAGTAAACGTATCCGGATGAGATGAACATTTTATGTGCAAGGTTTACAGTGAAGATCTGCATTTAGAAAAGTAAAATTCCAATGGCAAAGGAAAAATAAAAATGGAATTAAAAAAAAAAACAACCACCTTGACGGGAATGAGATCCTCACCTGTGACTTTGGGAATGCCTTGTAGTCGAGGGACAGGCAGAGCCACCAGGACTCCCAGGTTTGTCCCCACCATCAGCAGGCCATGACAGACCAGGAGACTGCTCACCGACACCCTCTGGTGACCTGGAACACAGTGCAGTCTGACACAGCGGCATTTCACCAGGGGACATTCAAGTTATCACTATGGATTTGCGATGAACAGATAATGGGTTTGAAGAGACAGCTTATGCATACTGTACTTGAGTTATTTGTACATTTAAACAGTCAACTAACTTAAAACGTTACTCGTAAGAACATAAGAGAGTTTACCATTGAGGGGAGGCCGGTTAGAAGTTAATTGATCTAAGGTTCTCTTGCAGCTCTTCCTTAAAATATTACTAGGGTACTGACTTCAACATCATGGCTGGACAGGTTTTTCATACTCCCAAAACTCTTGGAGTAAGAAAAAGTTCTGTTCTTAATTTTAATTGCACAAGATCTTAGTAATAACTTCTTACTGCTGCAAATACATCATGGGATTTAAAAATTTGCTGCTGCCTCCAAAGATCAAATCTTAAATATGGAGGTCAGAAATCATACTGCCAACACTGTTTAATACACATTCTTGTATTGAAGGTTTCACAGGTTAAGAAAAATTATGTGATGGAATGTAACAATCATAAATGTATTTTGGGGGGTGTTCACTGTCTCTTTAAGGCAGTAGTTTAATACAAATAGTTTCTCAGCAATCCAGAAACATGTGAATAAAGAATGTACCGTATTGTATAAAAAGAGAAAAACAACAAAAAGGGTTTGTGCAATTATTGTATGTATGACATAATAAAAGTCCTCCATAACCAATAGTTATAAGGTACAAAAGTACAATAAACTCTGTAAGAGAAGCAGAAAGGGACAAGGAGAGGCTTATCACACACTGCAAAGTATAAAGAAGACGTATAATAGGTAAGAACAGTGCTGGTCACAAAACAGAATTTGTCTACATATAAATGAAAAAAAGAAGAAATTTATATTAATTAAAATAAGAATTAAAAATATTGTATTTGTCTATAACTAAGGAGCTGGTGCTGGAGATCAGGGGAAATCTACTGTATCAGGGGAGATCCTCAATTTCTATTCTGGGAGCAGGACTTCATCTAAACGGCAGCTCATCCTTTAACATATTAGCATGTCACCACACTGACATAGTGCTCTGGATTTTCTGCTCTATCAACATTATTTCCAGCTGCTATGCTAATGTTCCTTAGAGTTTGCCAACCAGGTTGCCAACCAGACCCTACAGTTATAAGCTTGTAAGACCAGACAAGTTTAGGCTTGAAATTAGGTTGGGCTGAATTCTTTATTCTTCTTTTAGTATTGCCAGCATTGTGGCAGAAGAGACCTAATATACAGAGACAAAACACTTGTTGCAAAATTGTCATTCTTGCTGCTGTGTGGCCACGTTGGATACAATTTTAATTACAAGGGGGAAGTCTATTTCTGCTAAGAAGACTCTAAGTATACTTTGCCCACTGGAAGTGCAGGATTTGCCTCTGTGGTAATATTCTCATCTGTTGCCAAGGAAATAAACAATACAAATCAAATCTTAAAATACTGTTTAAATAATCCAGCCAGAGGAAACAGGTTCTGAACAAGTATAGTCACTTACACAGGTTGTGGACTAAAAAAAGGTAATCAACAAAAACACTTATATAGAGTTTCTTAATAGGGTGTTGAGGCTCAACTGGCACCCAGTATGGGTTGTACACACCATGGCATAGAATCTAGCAGTGTTTGGAATTATGCAGTAGGGATGTGGCATCATTCATCCCCATGAAAGTCAATTAGCTCGTGCCTGGTTGAAGGAACTGGAAACTGCTCTTTCAGACGTCAGTCCAGCATATCCCCATAAATGCTTGTTTGGGTTCAGATTTGGAGACTGAGAAGGGCATAACATTTGCATAACATCAGTGTCATGCTCATCAAACCTTTGGTTGATCACACATTCTCTAAGGAGAAAAGCATTGTTATCCTGGAAGACACCTCTCCCAGCAGGAAAGAAATGCTGCACGTCGTCACAGGGTGAAAGATGATTAATCTGACCACATCAGATTTCTCCAGCGCTTGGCAATCCAATGCACATTCCCAGCGCACACCAGAATTTGTAAACATGCACTGCCAGGTGTGATGAATGGTTTGTGAACTGCAACCTATGGTATCCCTGTGGAGGTCTCAGTGAATCATTTCTAATGTACAGTAACAGGTTGCTCAAGCCCTAGGTTGAGATTTACAATCAATTAATGGCCTGTTTTACCATGCACTAAAAAGTATAAAACGTATACAAATAAGTATAGTGCCAATACTGTCATAATATAGTGTCACATTATCATTGTAGAGCAAATATTCATTGCAGTGCATACATTATTCTGCTTTCAGAACTGAAAGGAAATCAACTAGGGATGCCTGAGATTGCCACATTGCTGAACTACAGGAGATGACAACTGTAGAAAAGACCTGTGGCAATAATGATCTCCAACTTTGTTAGATATGGAACAATAGTGTTGACAATGATGTGTTTCATGTTGAGAACAATGTCAGCATGCCTGTAATTGACTATATTCTGAAAACAAATAAAACCTGCTATATCTGGTATCTTATAAAAGAAATAGAAAAGTGGAAGGCACTGTGTTACCACTGTGTACAAGTAAGTTCTGTTTACCACTATAAATATTACCTACCACTGCTAAACAATTGAGCAAATTATTCAAATTATGACCAGAAACATGTTTTGAAATGAATACTTTCTCAATTGCTGAGTTCAGTTTTGAGCAAATACCTTAGTTATAAGAAACAGACCCCACTGGTCCTAAAATACTTCCCAGAAAAAATATGTTTTTATTTACAAGGCAGACTTCAAATTGACATAAAGGCACAGATGTGACCAAACCATCAGTGGACAAAATGGCTTCTGTCTCACTTGAGGAAGGGAGTTTTTGGTTGGAGTTCGTTGCCTGACTTACACAATACAGAGTGGCTGCTGGTTTATTCTGGCCACTTCTAAGATTATCTTGCTGGAAAGAAGCCACAGCTTCTGTCACTGATTCCACCATGCTGTGGTAGTGTGGGAATGGTTTACTTCACATCTTTGATTCTGTGGGATTCTCCTTCAAACCCTTTCCTCTGCTCTCAATCTAAGAGAGGACTTAGGAGGTGGAAAGTCTATGATTACAAGCCCTGTGAGGAAGTAGTATTTCTTCAGACCACATATGAGGCTTGTAATGTCATAATGGCACAATAAAACCTAGGCTAAATCCATTCTGCCAGATGATTCTCTCCACAATGCACAGCCAGAGAGAATATTCACTGTGAAATGGCTTAAAACATATGGAAACATAACATAACATAACATAACATAAGGAAAGATGTTGAATAATTCTAAATGTGTGCATGTATTTGAATGTTCTGCTATCTTCATTGTAACGGATATGATAAATAATTCTTGAGTATACATTTCTTTAAACTGAAAGCATATTCAACCGGCACATTAATGTTACTGAAATTTCCTCATCCTTTAAACTTAACTTAAATCAACTTTCATTTGCATCTAATTTTAATACTTTTAAACCATAATTCTATTATCAGTCTTACAACCTTTTCCAAGATCTATAACTCTGAGATGTAACAATTAAAAAAAAAAAGAGCAAAAGCTTCATTTAGTTGAATGCTTAACCATGGAATACCCCTATTCAATGATTTACAGCAAGCGTTTTGAAATGATAAAATAATAAAATGTGAAATGAAAACTTTAAACAAGAAATATTTGGGAAGATTTTGTTGTTTGTGTCAATTGTTTTGAGAATTCTGCCAATAGTTTCAAAAATCGTATTCTAGAAAAAGATATAACAAGCACATTACAGAACAAGGAATACGTTATTTAAAGAGTTCTTAAAACCCGCTTTAAGCAAATTATAGGTTAATTTTTGCTGAACTTCACAGGGCTTATTCAAATAAATAAAAAATCTTGAAGTGTTTGTTTTATTGAATGCAGATGTCCTTTTGGCATCATGGCCTTTTCCTGCTGAATATGAATAATAATGTCCTAAGGCTATCTCTGCACGTCTAACTTTCTACAGAAAGCAGAGTTTGTCTATGGACACCTGCAATCCAACGAAGTGGTGCCAAAAATCAAAATTTCAGTATGCCATCAGGATTATTCAATAAAGAGGTTGATCTCTGAAAGACTGACACTTTCCTTTTACTCAACAAATGAAAAGAAAAAAAACTGAAAAATGAAACCACTCAATGAAAAAAACAGCAAACTGCTGGTATTACCAAAGGACTAAGAAGCAGATGTGAGGAGGAATTTGATATCCGCAGATATATAGGTTAACATTAGCTGACCTGTTTTTAACTACAATAAGAGAAAACTTATTTTGAAATTTTCCTTACTGACACCGGTATGTTTATGTATTTTCTCCCTCTTTTAGGTAGGGAGACAGCAAGTCTCCCTACAAAAATGCAGTGGTAAGCTGGAAACCATAAATACCACTGACCTATACCATAAAGGTAACAATTTACACTAAATGCTTCCCAGCAGCGCTTAAAATGATAATACAGCTGGACTAAATTCCCATCCAGGGACACACGGCAGAGCCCCTAATTTGCAGTCTCAGTGTTGATGTTTAGATCTGAAACAATTCAGACAGTTATTTGAATGTAATATCCACAATAGCAGTTAACTAGGTCAGCTATCTCAGTTCATCTGCAGGGTTTGCTAATCATTGCTGATCCCTTTGTACTGTCCCTTCACTAGGTGACCCTTTATTAGTGTGAAAATGAACACAAGGCAGCCAGTCTGGGACAGACTATTGCAAAATGCTCCATCAGTGCTCTGGCAAACCTCCTATCAGGGAGAAAGCACAGTATTGTCATATGACCGGAGCTCTGTGTAAACACAGGTTGTTTGCATCTGTGAGTCTCTGTCTTTACTTTATATTTAATAACTGTATGCAAATAAAAACCAGCCTATTACCACAAGGTTTAACCTCAAGGGTTATATATCTATTATTGTAAGTATTGTAAAAAATTCAGTTTTGTTCCTTAAAAAAGAAGCATGGCAAATGTTAAAACCACATGCATGTTTTGCA